TTTGTTTGTTACAACCAGGTACAAAAACTAACTTGTTTTTATTTGACTATTTTTCTGTCCTCTCTATTATCTTCCTGCATCTCCTCTCAATCCTAAAGAAAAACTGCTACCTGGGTTCATTTATATTCACTTTATGAGTTACCTTTGAACTGCAGTTCTAAAAGATCTACCAACCACAAAAACAGCAGAGTGCCGCTGCTCGCCGGCCGACTACAACGGGACCGTTTTTGCTGCGGAGTTCGTGCCGGAGCGGAGCGGAGATAGTGGAATTTTGGGGGTGCGTCACCGGAGGACAAAACAGGTGATGTGCCTCGCTCCGCAGCAGCGAAATGCATCCGGCACAAATAACAGACAGAAAACATTAAAGGAAATGAGCCGACATGAACGATTGCATGTTTAATTTGTCTTTGAGGTGGTGACACCTGATTTGGCGGTGCTCAGAACGCAGATGTCTGGAGCGCGTCAACGATCAGAGCTTTGCATGCGCAAACTGGTTAAGATTAGGATGGGGGTGAGGGGAAGGTAAAATTGCAAGAGGGAAAAGGTCACAGTTTGGTTAAATGTCCGTTTTACCGCCGGTGTCAGTACTGACGCTCTGGCACAGCGCGTCGCCTCCGCCTCCCGACGCGCAGGGGCTCATCACCTGCTGTCTTTTCCGAGGACTGCATCTTGTCAGTCATTATCACGTGACAGCGACTAGTCGATGACAGGCATAAAAAGTCACTACAGAGCCGTGAAGTCGTCTAGTCGACTAGTTCATACAACCCCTAATATATATATATATATATATATATATATATATATATATATATATATATATATATATAAATATGTTTGCCTTTCCTTCTCCTAGACCACAGGAGTTAAACTCAGGTCCGTGAGGGCCGCTATCCCACGTGTTTTAGTGTTTTCCTGTTCCAACACACCTGATTTAAATCAGCAGGTGATTAACCGGCTTCTGCAGAGCCTGATGAGCTGCTGCACAAGTGAATTAGCTGTGTTGGAACAGGGAAACAACAAAACGATGCAGAATACCGACCCTTGAGGACTGGAGTTTGACACCCCGATCTAGACGTATTGCCTGTTGACATCGTGGTTCTGCGTCTCAGGTACAATAACAAGTCTGACATTTTCATAATAGGCCTTTTGGATATCCTGTCTCCCTCTTTCCATCTGTTTTTTACTGGGTGAATGGTAAAATGGTCTGTATTTATATCCATATAGTGCTTCCGAGGGTTGTACAACCCCCAAGGCGTCATTCATTCATTCACACACACATTCACACGCTGGTGGTGATGATATACGATGTAGCCACAGCTGACCTGGGACGCACCGACCGATGCAGGACTGTTGTGTGCTGGCGCCACCGGTTCCTCCGACCACCACCAGAAGACAAGGAGGATGAAGTGTCTTGCCCAAGGACACAGCGACTGTGAACCTGCAACCCTCCGGTCCCGGAGCGACCACTGAACTCCTCTGCTACCATCGACCCATTGCAACATGTGCTACAGTGTTTTTTTTTTGTTGTTGTTGTTTTGCTTTTATTTGTGTTTGCATGAGGCTCATGAATCTTCAGAGCTGAACATTTTATATGCAACGTTTTCAGTTTTCCATAAACAGCATTTGCTCACAATTCTAACTATCATTCATCCATTCACACACATACACCCATACATACATACATACATACATACAAATATTAAGAGATATAAGTACACTTTAATGCATATAATAATTTGTTTTTTTCCATGATTAGTGTAATGGGTGAATGTAATCTCACGACAGTCAGGGCATATGCAGTGTCGGGGTTTGTGCAATATAATTGATGTGTTTCCGTTATTGTTATCTATGCTGTCCTCTGTGTCCACTTTCCTTGACATTTGTTTGTGTTAGTATAATCGGATGGCTGTTTTTGTCTCTGTCACGTGACTTGTAAATACTATCTCTGTATGTTTCCACTACTTTGTGTCTAACATCAACCTGCCGGAGGGTCTGCAGATGGAAATTAGCCCAAGGCTATAATCTGGCATATTTACATTTATTGAAATGTTCATTAATATGTATTGCCCCTCTTCCTAAAAATAAATAAATAAATACATAAATAAATGATTGAACTGGTAAAAGATAAAAAAAAACTACTTTTATTTGGGTTTTGAATTCTTTACATATGCATCTGAGTAACAAGACGATGCCGTTCTGAGCAGAATTTGTGATACCATCTTGGTAGTCTAAAGAAAAGTTATTGATCCCTGTCAGTGTGTGTGTGTCTCTCTCCCTCGTAGCGCTGACGCAGAAGCATAAACTAGACTTTAGTGATAGCTGCTAATTATTCTCTTCCATCACTCTGGAGGATATTCGTCCAACTCTTCTTTACAAAATAGTTTAAGTCATCCATGTTGGAGGGTTGTCCAACATGAACGGCCTGTTTAAGGTCAAGAGTCGGACAGCCACCTTCAGGATTTTCTGCTACAGTCCAGAATTCATGTTTTCATCAGTTCCATCAAGTCAGCGGAACTCACTCCTGGTCCTAAAGAGCCGGTATCCAGCATGTTTTAGTTTTAACCCTGCTTCAACACACCTGATTTCAATCAGCAGGCGATTAACAGGCTTCTGCAGGGCCTGATGAGCTGCTGCACAGGTGATTCAACCACTGAACCAGGGTGTTGGAGCAGAGAAACAATGAAACATGCTGGCCCTCCAGGACCTGGAGTGAGTACCACTGCATCAAGTGGTCCTGATGCATCAAAGCGGTCCCAGACCACCACACTACCACCACCACCACATCTGACTGTTGGTATGATGTTATTTTTCATAAATACATTTTTTCTCTAGATGTTACGGGACACGCCTACCTGGAACTTATTTTGTTTGCTCAATCCGCAGAATACATTCCCAAAAATCTTGGGGTTCATAAATGTTCTGGCATTTATTTACAGTTGTCTCCTTCTTATTATCATATCAGGAGTTGTGATCTTCAACAGCTGAGGCCCAAAGGGCTCTAGAGGAAGTTCCGAGTGGTCATGAATTAGTTTATGAACAGCAGGATGTGTGTGATCGTTTAGCCCACTTCATTATACTGCTGAAGCGACACTTCATCTCCACAGGTCTGGCAGTAATCAGGTGTGGGTGTGGCTGGTGTAAATGAGCTCTGAATAATGGGACTCATCAAGGAGAACAATCACTTGTGATGTTCTTGCTTTGATTGGCTTTTTTTTCTCCTAATAAATAAAGTTGAAACTGAATTCTGGCTTTACTCGGGTTTTCTGTCCTTTGCACTTTGATTGTGACAAAGTAATTGTAAGAAGGTGTGACAGAGTGAGTGTCCTGCCACTGTATCCCGATTGATCATGCGTCCTGGCTACTTGGCCAAGGGCATGTCCCTTTGGATGACTGGTTGGTGGGCATGACTCTCACCCGGGAGTCTGGGGATTGAATCCCACCTGGGCCCTCTTACCTCCACCCTGCCACCAAGGCAAATGCATTTTTAAAACAACTTATATTAAATTAGAATGTTCTCTTCGCATTATTACAGGAGAACTGCACTTATCACATTTATGTTGGCAACGCTAAAACATCTCAAAATGTCAGCAAACTCAGAGTGAAAAGACACAGATCTTCTTTCAAAAAAGTTCTGTCTCCGTTGGTGAAGTCTTCACCCACCAACTGTACGTGACATCTACATGTTCAGGACGTTTTTGTGTCTTTGTGTGTGTATGTACGTGCATCTTCAATTTATTGATCTGGTCTGTGTGATGGAATAAACTCAGTCTCAAATTGATCTTCTCTCCTTTTCTCTTGTGTAAGAATATCAAGGCTGACTGTTGACCTCTCAGCGGCCTTATTGTATTCCCCAGGTCAGATACAGGTGTACATACATGTGTTCAAGCCCCGATAACATTATCTCAGGCCTGAATACAATCCCAACTTATCGACTCTGACGTCTTATCAACACAACACAGTATTTTATCGATTCGTTCAAAAGGTCTCTGAATTAGCAGAGATGACTTGAACCTAAAGCTGGTTATGAAAAACAAAAAGGACTAATTAAGTTTATCTTTTGTGTCCTAACAGAATAATCCTGTGGTTGAGGGTAAAATGACAAAAATTCAAACTAAGGCTGATTGTGTCTGAGCAGCTGAAACTGATCATTGATCCGTCAAACAGTAATCAGGACTCGGTGTGTTGATTTAATCTTCAGGTTGGAAATGAAAGCTTTTGTCTAGATTCTACCAAAAGCTTCAACAGAGTATTTCTGAGCACAGCAACATCTCGTAGGTTTTTTGTTTCTGTAAATGAGGGAAATTTGATCGTCTTTGGTTCAATCTAAAGTAAATTGGAGAGGAACAGGTCAGAAAAAAGAAAGTAGGTGTGATGGTGCCATGCTGGGTGTTGCTAGAAGGTATGTTTGGTCCCAAATTAGTCCCCGATGTGAGAAAGTCTAGGAATAAGGAGCTGGTCCAGAACCAATCAGCTCTTTCAGATGGCTGTTTGCACTTTGTTATTTCAACTTTCTTCTTCATTTAAAGGATTTTTCCCTCATTTAAAATGAAACTTCTTTAGAATTAATAAAATAGAAAAGTATTTATCTCTATTCAGTCATTGTGGCTGTGAGGTGGAAGGTGCTGAGTAAAGTAAAAACTCCTTTTCTGTCCACGTTTATTCAGTGAGAGAAAATCTTCCAGACTCATCAAGTCTGATGGGACGATGAGCTCCAGCAGACGACCCGTGAGACTGAACCTCCCAGTAAAAAGGACCTGACACACTTCCAGACCTTCATCTTTCTGCCTAGTCACCTTTTTTCTGTCACTCAGCCTTTAGTTTGACACAATTACTGCAGGATCCAAACTGGAGGACAGAGACCCAGAGCAGGTCAAGTTAATATTTGACCAGTTTTAGCTGCCAAACTGCTCCACATGAGCTGGAGAATACATGTGGGCCGTGTGGAGCTTTCAGCTGAGAGAGGGAGGGCTAACGCTCAGAGAGGCTTATCTCAGCGATTGATCCGCTCTCATAAATACAGGGATGGTAGTCTCTGAGTGGGAAATCTTTCTTCAGCACTGAGCCTGTAAGGTCACAATTAAGTTTTAGCATCAACGTTTTGATCTTCAGTCAGTCATGGGAGTCGCCTACAGCGTTGGAGAGTAAGTAAAACGATCATCTTGGCAGATTTAAATAATGTGAGTTTGGTTTTTATACAGACATGATTGTAAGTAAATCCGTTCAGATGAGCATTTAATGCTTTTATGTACCAGAAGGTGTGAGTGAAAAAAACACCAGCAGCGTATAAAATGCATTGTGTGTTGATTACGGCAAATAATACTTGCACTTATGTAGAAATAGGGTTACTCCAATCAAGGTTACAGCTGTAAATTACAAAATCAACATTTTAGTCCAAAGAAACATGTTGTTGTGTAGCTTTGAACACAGAAGAATCTGATATTCACAGAAACAAAAGCAGAACCTAAAAGTGATTTTTTAAGTGGAAAACTCCAGAAGGCAGACATTAAAGCCCAGATCTTCATCCCATGACTTAAATCATCAAAACATCTTGAACCTTTGGTGTTTCATGCACTGGCATAATAGGATGTCTTCATCCAGCCTTGTCCAGGTGGACGAAAACTTTTCTGGAACAAGACTATTCATGGATTTTCTTTGTGTCACAGCCACTCTAGCCTTTACAGTAAGTGCTGTGAGTCCGTTCCGCTGATACAGCCCAGAGGAAACAACGCTGTCTCTGCAGTTCTTTTTATTTTAGTTTTATTCTTCCTATGGAGAAAAAAAGGTGCTTTTTCACATTCAGCTGGTTAAGACCCACTAAAATGTCACAGCTGAATTAAAAGACCAATATATAAAATGCGTTTTATATAAAAAATACCATTTATGTGAGCAGCTGTTCCCACTAAAGTCTGAACTGAGAGTTTAGACGATAAATGATCTAAAGATCCAGGATGACAGATCCCCAGAGGCATAGGTCACAGACCTGATGTTGAGTCAACAGAGAAATCCTCCTCTCTGCAGGAGCTGAAGAGAGAAGGACTATGCATTTGGTGTTTGCTGAGATGGTTTGAAACAGAATAAAAACAAACTGTGTGTCTAAAATAGACAAACATTCTATTTTCAAGTTTTTCACTTTTAAATTCCTCTTTTATTTCACTAAAAAGGTAGAAAAAAAGGTTCTTTAAATATTGTGATATGAAATTCTTTAATGATAATCTATAATTTTGGGCCTGTGCTTTGGCTGAATCTCCTTTTGTATTTAAAACAATAATTTATGAGTAATGGAATGTTCAATGTGTTTTCCTGCAGGGTCGATCACCTCTACACCTTCTTTGTGGAATGGTCCCCAGATATGTACGGTAAAGGCAAGAAGAAGCCTTGTAAGTCCTGCTCTCTCAAGAGGAAGAAGAACTGTCTGGTGGACAAAGACGCGGCTGCGGTGAACAAGCTCCACAAGAAGCCCGTCAACCCCCAAAATGCAGCAAAATGGAAGGTGAGTTCAAACGCTAGGGCAAAAACATCAAACGTGTCTTTGATTTGGTAAAACACACAAATTTATGGCAAGTTGTTTTAACATTTATCAAGGAGATGAGAATTCCAGATATCTATGAATCTATAGTTCCTAGTAAAAAAACAACATTCCAGAAATCCAAAGTAACTAACTGTGCAGAGGGAACATTTTGGATGTCTGAAACCGAATTATCCGTCGAACAAATGATGTCACATTTCCTGATCATGTGTATCGGGTTTGCAGCACCTCCTATCCACAAACACATTACTCCTATCAAGTACACACCTAAATCCTTGCAAGCAAGCATTGTTTTTGTGTTCAAGTAAAGCCTTAGCAACCGATGGCCATTAGGGTCAAAAATCCTTGAGAGCAACCTCCAGCAAAATAACAACAAGCGCATCAGACTCCCTTTCGTCACTGGCGACGAGCAAAGAGGTAAATGTGTAAAACAAAGTTTATTAACGGCAAAAACTTTATAATCGCTTGTTACAAATCAGTAAATGCATTCTGTCCTCACGGCTCCCATAGGAGGAAACATGTTAGCTAATATGGCGTCGCCCAGAGACTTAGACCCACTCCATGTATTATAGACCCAATTTTTATGGTTATATGTTACAAAGCAGCCACTATTTTTCAACAACCAGTTAATTAATCATTTAATTAATTTTCAACAACATTTTGATGTAAATTTCTAGAGATTAACGGAAAAATCTACACATTGCCTTTTTAATAAATGATCTGTCAGCCATTTTGGGGTTTTGGGGACTTCATTCCCACTGTAGCACTTGTTATTATGGATATCCTTAAATATAACTTCTGCTAGTGTCAACATAGCTGTTGATACATGTCTTCATTTTCAATTTTGATTATGAGTGCAGTTAGCACTAGGATAAATTAAGTTATTACAGAGACGTCAGGTTGCTGATTAAATGTTTAAAAGGCTTGCCCTTTTCCGTTTGCCTAACATGGAACATAGCTGTTCTGGCTCAGTCAAGAGTGCAGCTAGGGTTGTGGGAGACCCCTCTATCCTAATATGGGCATCCTGTTTCCTCCTCTTCTGTAGCTTCAACCATATTATTTGAGTTCAAAACGATGGAAGGAAACCGTAATGGGCGGAGACCTAACAACATGCAGCAACGTGCTCGAGTCTCAGACCAATGAACGTCTCTGAAGTATAAAGGTAGCAGACAGGTCTTAAAGAGCAGAACTAAACTCTGACATCAGGAGCCATGAGGAAAGCACAGGAGAGCTTAAGGGTGTTTTATTTTGCCAGCGACTGTGTGGAGCCGTATGTAGAGGTGAGAGGACTCCATGAGCTGTAATTATGATTTAAAAACAGGAAGAGGGAAGCTCTTAAACAGAGTTTCTCACCAGTTTGTTGCATCTTGTGTCCTGTTCCAGGTCATAACGGTGAAGGACTCCAAGCGCCGCCTGAGTTTGTGTAGCTCAGTGGAATCCGAGGAAGAGGAGAACGAGGAATACCAGGAGGAGAATGAAGACTCCCCCGTCCTCAGTGATCAGAGTCAGCTGCTGGATGAATACCAGCTTCAAAAAGTAAGTTAAGCACATCTGTGTTTCTCTCTTCTAATCAATGATACCAGCAACAACATTCTTCATATCTAATGCAGGATTTAATCACAAAGTTGTTTCCCAACAGCTCGCTGCTCACATGCCGGCACGGACTCAAGGATATCCGTGGAATCTGGTCTACAGCACAGCCATCCATGGGAGCAGCCTGAAGACGCTTTACAGAAACATGGCTGACCTGGACAGCCCTGTGCTGCTGGTCATCAGAGACATGCACAACAAGGTTTGTGTCTCACGTCTGCAAGACCTTTGACCTAAAACCAGATGTCCACCAGAGACACAGACTAACAAGCTGGTGTCTTCCAGGTGTTTGGAGCTTTTTCCTCTGATCCCTTCAAAGTCAGTCAGTATTGTTACGGCACCGGAGAGACCTTCCTGTTCACCTTTCAGCCGGACTTCCAGGTGAGAATCAAATCATCCTTTAGATTTCTGCTTGTCAATCATTTACCTACACGTCCTCACGTTACCTTGTGAATAGACATAAACAATAACATCATCACGCTAAAATGTCACCTAAAAACCCACAAATGTGGTGAGATGTTTATGGAAAATGAATGTTGAAAACGTAGCTCAGCGGTTGACTTGAAATCTTCATGGTTTGTGTTTTCTGTAGCATTACAGGTGGAGCGGAGAGAACTCCTACTTTGTGAGCGGCAACATGGAATCTCTGCAGATCGGTGGAGGAGGGTGAGTTTTAGTCCCACTGAGTTATGGTCGTACACACACAGACCGGAAGTTAACATGGATGTCTGTGTTTTAGGGGCGGCTTTGCCCTGTGGCTGGATGCTGATCTGTACCATGGAGCCAGCTTTTCCTGTCCTACTTTTAATAATCCGCCTCTTTCCACACATCAAGACTTTATCGTACAAGATGTAGAGGTGTGGACGGTTCGAGGCTGAACCACGACACCAGGAACACGAGCTGTCCAATCGTGAAGCAGAACACTGGAAGCAGTTAAGCCTCTGCTTGGTCCCGATGGAGCGTTTGCTCCTGCAGACGACCCCACCTACTGGAGACAGTTTAATGGACTGGTTCTCTGACTGGGATTCCTGCTTGGTTGAACTGTGAGTGTTAAAGATGTGTAGCTGCATCAAGTCCTGAGCTTCAGGTTCCTGCTGATCAGAACTTCTGCTGTCATATTTAAGCTGCTCCTCTGTGATCATGGAGAATATTATGACTCAAAGTTCTTGGTAAAAGTTGGTGAAAGACAAGTTTGTCAACACTGAAAACACATTCCAGGGCAAACATTTGTGTTTATTGAAAAGGCAGACATGTGTGGTGTGTTCATTAATGCATCTATGATGCTAAGCTGTCTGTGTTTGATTCTGTCATGGTTGAATTGTTTTATGGTGATAACACTAGTGTGATAGGACCCCAAGGAAACTACTGAAGCCTGCGGTTGGCTGCAGGTCTGCTTGTACTCACCTTGACCTTCATTGTACTTCCTCTTTTGTTTGTACCCAGTTCAACACGTTTGAATTAATAACGATGAGGTTAAGCCGTGGAAATGTTGACTGAATAATGCACAGTTTAACTCATGGAGCTACTGCCTTAATATTACATGCATGAGTGCATGTCGGGTTGCAAGCATGCATGTGGTAAATACATGGATGGTAACAGTTTTACACCTTGTTTGTACAAAATGTTAACCACTGTGTTTGAAAAACCCTTTGTGCACAATTCAGCAGCTGGGTCTGGGTGGAGGTGTGAGCTGACCAGTACCTGGTTGGGTTTTAATTTCTGACTCCATTTTGAGAGAAAAATCTATTTGAATAATTTGAATCTTTTTCATACTTAAAGAAAATTCCCTTAAGATTTGCTTATTGGTATTTTTTTCAAACAAAATTTGTGACAAGAGCACAAAAACCCTATATTATTACTGTTTGGTGTGTGTGTGTGTGTGTGTGTTTCTTTTATTAAATCAGAATTCCTTGGCAGTGCAGGCGCTGCCACTAGTAATTTGATCTATTTTATCTATTTTTGTAAAACAGAATAAAAACATATTTTTCTATGAGAACTTGCTGAATCACAGTTTTATCTTTGACTAATCCTCGCCTTCAGCAAAAGAAGAGAGGAGTTTTAACCCTCATTATTCTTTATGATGTTCAAAGCTTAAAGGAGCAGTATGTAATGATTCTACAGTGAAGTCATCACAAAACTGTTTCATGTCTCCATAGTGTTGGAAGGAAGGTCACACTGAAACAGATTTAAATCTCAGCCAGCTGGAGGGTTGTCAGTTGTTTTCCTTTAAAACAAATTCAAGAGGGACGTATAGTTACTGTTTACGATCTGTGAGCCCGTGAGGTTGCCAAATCTGCACTAATCTAATGTTGCAGCACTGGCATTTGTAATGTAACATTTGCAGGCGAAAACTCCAGAGTTGAAAGCTAGCCAACAGGAGCGACCCAGAAGTTAGTCCTTGCAACCCTAAGCAGCCCTGGCATCCTGTTGTTTTACTTCAATATCAGATGAAGCATGCAAGAGGCTAATGTTGAGCTAACAATGCTAACAATGAATTAGAAGCAAATAGTCAGCTGTTACGTATTCAAATGATCAATTTTGCACCGTCTAATTCACCACAGGAAAACCATTCATTTGCAGACATAAACCCACTATCCAACTGGCCTCCAAATCCAGAAACTTCTGCTAAATTCTTGTTTGCATATAAGAAGACATAAGAAAATTGTCAAGGTCTCCTGCAAAGGTCCTGTTGTCTCTGTTTAAAGCCAGACTGCTCATTCCTCACCCTGAATAAAAATCAAACCTACTTGAAGCTCCTACAGGACTTTACGACTCATAAGCTTAAATAATCATATGTGTTGAATGAACAAGATGTTTAAATCAAATGTTTGAATAATCTGTGCTAAAAGCAATGATGGCTTTAAAAAGAATACTGTTCTTACAATGATTCATTTCAGATCTCATCTACACCAGATCAGTATGTGTTTTATTTAATGAGTTAATCAATATCTACACTCATACACATTACAATAAGATACTTATTAATGGTAATATTTACTTCACATAAGTGTTTTAAAACATTCTCATTCACAAAGAGTTAAACACCTTTGTCTCTGAACAAGGCGTGGCTTCTGAGTGTAGCAGTGTGAGCGTCCTGTCACAGTGTCACAGTGTCCCAATTTATCATGCAACCTGACTACTTGGCCACGGGGATGTCCCTTTGGCTGACTGGTTAGCGCACTACTCTCACCTGGAAGTCTGGGGATCAAATCCCGCCCGGGCCCTCGTTTCTCCACCATGCCACACGAGGAATGTTTGGTAAAGCCCTCAAGACTTGGCACATTCTGATTTACCAGAATGCACCAGACTTTCTAAACAATGAGTTTATTAAAACAAGAATCACTTCCTGATTAGTTCAGTTTCTAGCTGACTCCCGATTCGGCCAAATCGGGAATGAAACAATTTTGAAACCATCTTCTCCTTTGACCTCCAGTCAAAGCCTCTCTGCAACGCTGTGGCTGATATCAGACAACCGGCTCTTCTGAGCCAAGAAAACATCAAGCTTAGACGCAAATAAGCCTTCCAGCTTCCTGCCATCACCTGGAGAGATCTCAGATTAGATGGGTCCTATCGGAGCTAATCTACAGGTTCCTGATATCAGAGGTTGACTCCACCAGCAGTGACCATCAACACCCTGGATCGCACAAGAATCTCCTCACAAAGGGTGCGTAGACTTGGCACAGATTGCGTCGGATGGTTTTTAACAAACAACCAGTGGCGGCTGGTGAAAAATATTTTTGGTGGGGCTGTGCTATATTTTTTTAAACAAACTTGTGCTTTCTGAGCTTTGTGCACAACTTCACTATTTCCTGAATTAAGCACAGCTCTTTTATTTCCTGTCTTACATCATTGGACAAACTGATTAATCCAGGTGTGTCTGACTATTGGCACGCTGCCTTGCGGACCAAGGTTGAAAAATACTGCATTAAATTGCACATAAAATAACATGACCATAAATGGTAAATAGGCAATGCAAGAGGCAAGTAACAAAAACATTTTGTTTAATTTCAACATTTGAGTGAACACGAAAAATTATGAGCAGGTCACTGTTACAGTAATGGTAGTAAACACTACTTAGACAAAATGCCAGAAATTTACACTGTTAGGACTTGTGGAAAGTGGAAACACTTTCATAGGAAATAATGTCATCAGTATCCTCTTACAAATGTCATATTTCCCACTTTTTGGGACAATAAAACATTGCTGGTTCTCAATGAGATGTTTTTACTTCAAATGTAAAAAACATCTCATTGAGAATCAGAAATGTTTTATTGTCCCAAAAGCTGGGAAATTTGTTTGCTGCAGCAGAAGTGTAACAAGTAAAATGGAATCAGATTGATGTATGTACAAATTTACTTGAAATACACATTTACATGATTAAATATGTATAATAAGTATGTGTGTTGAAATTAGTTTTTACAGTTATTGCACATTAAACAATGTACATGTTATTAAACAAATGTCCCAGTTTGTGGGACAACCAAGGATTTCTGATTCTGATTACAGAAATGTAATGTACAGCTTACCTCTGCACCCAGCTGCTGTTCTCCCTGTCCAAACGTCCTCCGTTTCTTTGTTGGCTGCTGCACTGATGCGCTGCATTCCTCAGTCAGAGAATGAATGGAGTCCCCAATGAGACACAAGTTCCACATCCACCTTCTGTGGATCCCAGCCGTTTTGAATAACAAACACAGAAAGCAAAATAATGCATTAGCGTGACTGCATCCAGCTAGCCACTGCTTCCTGGTGTACCAATTTTGGGAGAAGCGCCGTGTGTACAGTTTACCCTTCTCCTTGTCCTGCTGGTTTATCTTTACATCGGGCTGATCTGGTCCAAGCTCTTTGACATTAAGTTTTTCCACCATAGTTCTCCTCTAGAACGGATACTGGAGAAGAGACCGAACTGAATTCAGTGGCTGCTGAGATCCGGTATCCATGTTGTAGGCGCACTGGCATCCATGTCTACGTCTGCGTCATGACCGTCACGAGTTACGACCAAAAACGTGCTGGAGTCGAGACTCTCCGAGTTCTACCGAACACCAACGAAAGCCTTGGCGGTAGCTCTATCGCCCATCATGCTTCTGAAACGTTCTGAAACAACGTCGACGCTGATTGGATACATTCCCATTCCTACCCTTTGATTTTCTTGTCAGCAATTGGACAACTGGTCCCGTCTTGTTTGGGCGATTGAAAAACAGCACACAGCCTCCACCGCTCGGCAGAGATCGGCAGAGATCGGCAGAGACCGGCAGAGACCGGCAGAGACCAATATATATATATATATATATATATATATATATATATATATATATATATATATATATATATATATATATATATATATATATATATATATATATATATATATGTATGATTTATTTTTGTTACAAAACACACAATTAACTTAGAATATGTGATTATTGTTAATTTTATTTATTTATTTTTTAAAATAAAAATTAAAAACACAAGGGAAACTGGGAGGGCGGCGCCCTATCGCCCTCTACTGGCCAGCCGCCACTGCAAACAACTCTCTAGTTTATAATCAAACAAGAAATTCTTTTACAACCCAGACTTCACAAACTCTCTCAGATACAAAGAACGGTTTTGTTACAACATGTAGCTTCCATTACAACATTCCACACATCACATAAATCCACTTTATAAACGTATAAACTTACTGTGTATGACTTGTCTTCACCTGTCATCCAGAATCTTCTGGCGCTGATCCGTAACTAACAACAGCCATGAATGTCACAGAATGAGTGAGGGAGGGATTGTTTGTTTAGAAAAAAGCACGATAGAAACCACATTTTACCACAGGATGTCATTCTTGCATCCTTATTACATATTGCACATTTAAGAGTTAAACTGCCTACAGACATGTTTTACAAATACACAAGACAAACAATTAAAATGTCCTTAATATGATTAACTATATTAACATTGTAATTTATAAGTGAGTTTAACAGAAGCTCAAAATACGCTTTTTTTATTCTCAGTCATCAAGAGGACTGCGACAGAAGTTTGAACACAATTCAGACCTCGCTAATCTGCAAAATTCTAAAATTGGAATTAGGCTTTGAAACGTTATTTAAAAAGGTGAATTTACTCACTTTGCAACATTTTGGAGTAATCACGAGGTTTTGGTCGTTGAGAATGAAGAGATCTCAGGAGAAACTTCCACCCTCCCTAACCCACAAAGACTCACCGCTGTGTAGATAATCTAGATAAATCTGTCCTTTATGACTTTGGGAATTATTTACTGATGCCTCAGCACAACTTATATTTGATTAAAGAAGCTAACCACTAAAACGTCCTGATGTTTACTTCAAAGCACTGATTAAACAAAAGAGCTTTCAGACTCTGGTTCCAATGTTACCATGGCAGCAGCAGTAACTATGGTTTCAGAGCAGCTGAGAACATCCTTCTGTCCTACTGGACTACCAGACCTGAAAAAGCACACACATCTGGACTGGTTCATGTTCCAGGATTAGATTCTGTTCTAAAGATGAACGGAATCAGAAGAACTAATGAATCGGATGTCATCCGTCCAAACACCATACCGTACCATTTTATTTGTATAGCACAATTTTATACACAACATGAGAGCTGACCAAAGTGCTTCACAGGCAAATACAGCAACTTAAAATCACTAAAATAGCGATTAAAAAAAGTGCACAAATAGGATCCCAATTCAAAACACATTAATATATTAAAACACTAAAAGCACAGTTTAGACAATAAAACAGAGAAACGACCCCACGAGTCAGAAATTAAAAGCTAATCCATAAAAGTGGGTGTTCATGTGAGACTGCCAAAGAGGGAGCCTGCCTTACAGTGATGGGCAATGCATTCTACAGCTGGGGGGCAGCATGGCCAAATGCTCGCTCACACCTCGATTTATAGCACATCTGTGGAATACAGAGCAGGAGGTGATCAGCTGGCCTCAGCCAGCGCGTGGGAACATAAGCAGTTCTGACAGGTATGCTGGTGCTTCACCATATAGTGCTTTAAAAACAAAAGTCAGCAGCTTGAACGGTACACAGAATGTGACAGGGAGCCAATGAAGGCGTGCAAGGACCGGCGTGATGTGGTTACGTCTGTTTGTAGTCGTTAGGAACCTTGCAGCTGCATTCTGGACAACCTGTAGCTGGTTTAAGACCGAGTTGGGAATGCCAGGGAGGAGCGCGTTTGCAATGTCTAATCGGGAGGTGATAAATGCATGAATAACTGATTCCAAATGCATCCGCTTCAGAATTGGTTTCAGATGAGATAGACAACGAAACTGGTAAAAACACGACCTCACTACAGAATTTACCTGAGAAACCATTGAGAGTTCAGCATCTAATTTTACCCCAAGACACACCGCTTGTGTGTAGAGGTCAAAGGATCAGTAGCAGACTGAGAGCAAGGGGGCCCTCTGCGATCAAAAATGATGGACTCAGTTTTTAGTTGATTTAAGCTAGCCGGTCCTGTATATCTTCCTTGCATGCCGACAGACCAGAGTCCGTCGGCATCCATGGAAGGCTGAAGGCTTCCATGCATGCCTTCAGCCTGTCACTCATTCTGTGACATTCAAGGCCAGACCTAATGTCTAGAATTCTGTTTATAAAAATTTCTGTAACTCTGTATAGAAAGCTACAGTACAAATTATGCCATCAGTTTCAGACAATGACAAGAATTGACTGTACTATATAGTTTAGACTGGTCGGTGCTGTGCAATGATGTTAGAAAAATAGTTATTTGGTGCAGATCTAACAGCTTTCTGACAACAGGAAAGGGCATCAACCAGGAGCTGCTGAGAGCATGGGAGTCTGTCTTTCTTCCACCTTCGCTCCAACACTCTGCACCGTTACATGGAGCTCCGGGTCTAATCATTTAGCCAAGGGTCTGAAATAATCCAATTCCTCCTAGGTCTGAGAGGGGCAACGGCATCCAGGGCGGCAGAGCAGGTTGTACTGAACAGATGCAGAAGGCCATCTACATCCATGCAAGAGGCTGAGGGGGGTGGGATGAGAGACTCAATATCCAGAGTCAACAGGAAGTCAGAGGTTATACTAGTATACGCCTAGAGTAACGAGCAACCTGCCTCTGAGCTGGAGGTAGGAGACGTGTGATGTCAAATATATTTGCTGCATGATCAGAAAACCCCACAGAGTCAACAGTCAGGTCACCAAGAGACTCTTTAGTCACAAGAGAGCATGAAGAAACTGATTAAACCTACTCAGAGATAAGACTTTACATAACATGAAGATACATCAATTTTATAAAATGTTCATTTAAAACATGACTGTCATGTTCTGAGAAAGGAGTTTAACCCAAGACATGCAGAATCAACACGACAAAGGTAAGTTGAAAGAAAACATTTATTATGCAAAACGGGAACTAAAGGTGCACCGGGACGTCCGGTGAGAGCGTAGCGGGTCAGGAGGGAGTCTGAGGAGAAGAGAGGCAGGTGAGTGCTGGGAGGTGACACAGCTTGGTGGGTTTGGATAGTTCAGGACTTACAGGAGGCGAGACCTTGTGAGCGTGGGAAAGGCAGCGAGCCGAGGTTCAGAGTCCAACTAGAGGGGTGGGAGAGCGGAGAGAGAGAACGGGTTGGTCAGTGGAAGAGGAAGAGACGGGGTCCAGAGGGATCCAGAGGTTTATGGTAGCTTTGGAGCGTTGTTGAAGGTGCCTGAAGTGACGAGAGGGAACCGTCAAAAATTTGGCTAGATATCGAGACAAATAATCACAGACAAAACAAGTGTAATCCTAGAGACGAGTACTAGTGACTGGAACTACCCAAACAGTAACAATCATCCAGCGAGGTGTGGTGTCCTCATCCTCCTTTTAGACCTGACCCCATCAGTGATGATTGGATCCAGCTGGTGCCTCTTCGTCTCTCCCACCTGAAAGAAGGCTGAAAGATTGTCTATGGACAGGTGGTTCACCTCGGCTCATGACACTAACTGCAGTAAACTGATTTTCTCCAACAGTGACAATCTCGGTTGTTTTTCTCAAAAACATATTATAGAACAGCCATTATATGGGATAAACTTCAACTTAAATTAACATTTGCAAATGTTTATATCTTCAAAGTGGTGGTGCATAATACCATTTTAAAATGCCTGAAAAAACGTAATTTTTTACTAGTAATAAAGCATTATTGTTAGAAGTTTTCCTTCGTGGATCTCCAATAGTCAACCAGTGAGAGCAATCATCCGGGGGTCCATTGTTAAAAGTGCATAAAGTATTACAAAAATGTATGAATTACAAAAGAAGAGAAATAACCGTAAAAATAAATCTATCCATCCTTCCTTCCTCCACTCACCCAGAGTCGGGTCATGGGGGCAGCAGCCTAAGCATGAAGGCCCAGAATTCCCTCTCCCCAGCTAGTTGGACCAGCTCCTCCGGGGGAATCCCAAGGCGTTCCCTGACCAGCCGAGAGACATAGTCTCTCCAGCGTGTCCTGTGTCTCCCTTTAGGTCTCCTCCCAGTTGGACGTGCCAAGAAAACCTCACCAGGGAGAAGTCCAGGAGGCATCCTGACTAGATGCCCGAGCCACTTCCACTGGCTCCTCTAGACGTGGAGGAGCAGCCGGTCTACGCTGAGCCCCTCCCGGATGACCGAGCTTCTCACCCTATCTCTTTGGGAGAGCCCAGCCACCCTGCAGAGGAAACAAATTTTGGCCGCTTGTGTCCGTGATCTTGTTCTTTTGGTCACTACTAGCATAGGCGTCATTTTAACCGGGGACGCCGGGGACATGTCCCCGGCAAAATTTGTAATTGGCAGCTGTGTCCCCCCCCCCCACTTTCAAAAAAGCCTGCTGATGAGGATTTTTGTTTTACCAGCTCAGATCTTATACCAGGGGTCGGCAACCTGTTCCCATCAAAGAGCCATTATTACCCGTTTCCCACAGTAAAGAAAACACCGCAGCAGCCGCGGCATTGTGGGTGGGGCCTACCCTCAGACAGCAGAGAGCTGCTCACAACAGGTGACAGCAGCCGGTACTATGGGCGTCACACCCGTGGGGGATGCAACACCCACACTTTTCCAGCTGTTTTGCTCACCTCCACTCCAGTCTGGTTTCTTCAGGTCGCACTCACTCTGTTTGCCTCATCTCCTTCTTCACCTCCCCTATTCTGACAGCCGATGTCGGGTTCAAGGAGAGCAGGAGATGGAGGGATGGAAGAGGTTGACTGAATTCATAATTTTACATCTTGACATTAGCTGTACAAAGTCTGAGTTTGATCAAGTGAAGAACACCAATCTGCAGAGGTTTATAACAGGCGTGGCGTCAGGTTTTCATTTTTGGATGGGCCACGGTAATTTTGGACGGACCTTAATAAGCAGTGACAAGTGAAGCAGGCAGGTCGCGCTAGAAAATTTAGTTTAAAAAGACGTCATAAATGTGTTCCCCCGTCATTTTTATTTATAAAATATGAAGTAAAAACTCACAATTTAATTTTCATTCATTTGTCATTAATATGTAGTCTACAACCGTGCGTTAAGTGGACCATCTTCCAGTAAAAGCAAAGCATCCGGTCCACCTCTCCAAATGCGTAAAATGTGCATCACAGCCACTAGGCGCACCGCGCGCACCGTCAGCTGTCAGCCCAGACAAGAGCAGAGCAACTAGAGAAAGAATAGAGGATAATTGTCTGGATGTGGATGGAGATTACATTTTACAGCAGTCTGATCATCATTTAAATACGTAAACCATCACCTGTCTTCTAGTCCACGCTATCAGCATTATTTTAATTGGTGTGTGTGTGTGTGTGTGTTTTCCACTTCAAACACTGGTCTAACCAACCAGACCAGCGTGTCCAGTAACACATTAATGTTACAATTAAACAGTTTCACTTCATGTAGGCTAGGAACATTTCACCTGCCGTAGCCCGACCGCTTCTGCTCCACATGAACTTTGTGCGTGACCAAGTGTCTCTACAGGTGCTTTATGAGCTGAAGAGGCGACTGGATGCATCATGCGTCTCCATATTGGAGACGGGAACAAGCGCTATTCAGCCAAACTTTCATAATTTCATAAAAATAACATTTTCCAAGTGACAGATCCCTCAGAGAGACCGGGTTTCCAGACCGCTTCAGTGGGAGGAAATCAACCAACATCCTTGAGTTTATCCGTCAAAATAAACAGTCAAATGGAAATATCTGTAACCTGTCATTTAACTCTTTTGCCTTCTTGTGAAGATTGTTGCAAAGAGAAACAACTAAACTTGATTAACCCCAGAGCCGTGCGCACTGCGCTGCACTGACTGTAAATGAGGGGGAAACAATTTAATCGGATCCTTTTCTTTTCAACATGGTTTAATGTAAAGTTTCATTCAGTACAAACTTTAGTTACACCAATCTAACGAGACAGAGCCTGGATTTGTATTCTGAACAGTTTAAACATGTTTAAAACGGAGACATGCGTGACGCGTCTAAAATTCGCACCTGCTCCGCTATTATGGAAATTAAAATAACAAGATGAACATGAAATTATTTTAGGCACAGACAACATCCCCTACACTTTTGAAAAGCTTGCAACGCGCCTGATCGCTCATGTACGTCAAAGTTATCTTTCATAAAAAGATAATCAATAAAACGATTAAATAAAGTGGATCCAGAAGCTGTAGCCCGTCTCTGCCTTCAATATTCACACTGTTGGTGGTTTTACTGAGCAGGTGCCACTTTTGTCCTACGTTTCTTTTTAAAACATGTTTAGACTGTTCAGAATACAAATCCAGGCTCTGTCACGTTTGATTGTTGTAATTAAACTTTGTAGGTGGGGAAGGTCAGAAAGCAGCTCAGAAGCGCCGATATGATTACGCACAAGCGTGACGCGTCAACCCTGTCTCACAGACCGGGTTGGACCTGTTCAGGTTTACGCAGACAATCTTTACATTTAGAATTGGCATACAGATGTAAAATTAATGCAGTAAAATATAAAGCATTTTATTTAAATATCCATTCATTATTTTACAAGCACAGAGAGCGCATCAGATGGATGGAGGAGCCGCATGCGGCTCCAGAGCTGCGGGTTGCCGACCCCTGTGCTAGCCTACTTTATTGTCCCCAGCAATTTTTAAGCCCCACTCAAGTGTATGGTTATTGTCCCCAGCAATTCTGAAAACAAACTGACGCCCTTGGTCACTACCCAAAGCTTGTGACCATAGGTGACAACGTAGATCAACCGGTAAATCAAGAGGTTTGCCTTCTGACTCAGCTCTCTCTTCACCGCTACAACGCTCGCATCACTGCAGATGCAGCACCAATCCACCTGCCAATCTCACTCTCCATCTTTCCCTCACTTATGAACAAGACCCTGAGATACTTAAACTCCTCCACTTGGAGCAGGACCTCATCCCTGACCTGGAGAAGGCATTCTACCCCGTTCCTAGTCAAGACCATGCTCTCAGATTTAGAGGAGCTGATGTTTTGTTGTTTGTGTTGTGGCTGAGTGTTATGAGTGCCTGCTTCACAGCTGTAACTGGGTTTAGTGATGACATTGTTTCCAGGTTTATAGTCACAGTAGTTAAACTATCAGGTTATTTGCTTTGAGACGTCCACATGTAGTCTGTTTGATCAAGAAGTGTTGAATGAAAGAAAAACAAATAACATTCAAATGAAGGGATTTAGGACAAATAGATGCACTAAACAAGACTTTCTTACTTTCTTTGTAAATTTACGGTATGAAAACCAAATAATGCTGTAAGCTTTGCTGTTTGTGCAATTACGTCAGAAAGTTTTGCAGATTTTAAATAAACTTTTACAAAAATGAGAAACGTCTTCACAATAATCAAGATAAAATACTGTTTCCTCGCTCTTGTTATGGAGCATTCCAGTAACTGGTGTTAAACGTTTTCAGTAAATGAAGTATCCTAAGGTTTTCTATATCTGGGACTTGTGTGAACCCAAAACTGCTTCTGCAGAAAACTGCGCCCTTTACAGTCACAAACATAGCAGAAGTCCTGGCATTCCTTATTGCTGTTGTGGGAAACCCATCCCTTCCCACGAATGGCTTTCCCCCTCCTCCTCTGTGACCAGTAGGAAAAGACGCACTTCCACTTAAGGGCAGAAGGAAACAGTAATGGGCGGAGACCTAACAACATGCAGCAACGTGCTCGAGTCTCAGACCAATGAACGTATAAAGGTAGCAGACAGGTCTTAAAGAGCAGAACTAAACTCTGACATCAGGAGCCATGAGGAAAGCACAGGAGAACTTAAGGGTGTTTTATTTTGCCAGCGACTGTGTGGAGCCGTATGTAGAGGTGAGAGGACTCCATGTGCTGTAATTATGAATCAAAGACAGGAAGAGGGAAGATCTTAAACAGAGTTTCTCACCAGTTTGTTGCATCTTGTGTCCTGTTCCAGATCATAACGGTGAAGGACTCCAAGTGCCACCTGAGTTTTTGTAGCTCAGTGGAATCTGAAGAAGAGGAGAACGAGGAATACCAGGAGGAGAATGAAGACTTCCCCATCTTCAGTGATCAGAGTCAGCTGCTGGATGAATACCAGCTGCAAAAAGTAAGTTAAGCACATCGGCGTTTCTCTCTTCTGATCATTGATACCAGCAACAACATTCTTCATATCTAATGCAGGATTTAATCACAAAGTTGTTTCCCAACAGCTCGCTGCTCACATGCCGGCACGGACTCAAGGATATCCGTGGAATCTGGTCTACAGCACAGCCATCCATGGGAGCAGCCTGAAGACGCTTTACAGAAACATGGCTGACCTGGACAGCCCTGTGCTGCTGGTCATCAGAGACATGCACAACAAGGTTTGTGTCTCACGTCTGCAAGACCTTTGACCTAAAACCAGATGTCCACCAGAGACACAGACTAACAAGCTGGTGTCTTCCAGGTGTTTGGAGCTTTTTCCTCTGATCCCTTCAAAGTCAGTCAGTATTGTTACGGCACCGGAGAGACCTTCCTGTTCACCTTTCAGCCGGACTTCCAGGTGAGAATCAAATCATCCTTTAGATTTCTGCTTGTCAATCATTTACCTACACGTCCTCACGTTACCTTGTGAATAGACATAAACAATAACATCATCACGCTAAAATGTCACCTAAAAACCCACAAATGTGGTGAGATGTTTATGGAAAATGAATGTTGAAAACGTAGCTCAGCGGTTGACTTGAAATCTTCATGGTTTGTGTTTTCTGTAGCATTACAGGTGGAGCGGAGAGAACTCCTACTTTGTGAGCGGCAACATGGAATCTCTGCACATCGGTGGAGGAGGGTGAGTTTTAGTCCCATTGAGTTATGGTCATACACGCACAGACCGGAAGTTAACATGGATGTCTGTGTTTTAGGGGCGGCTTTGCCCTGTGGCTGGATGCTGATCTGTACCATGGAGCCAGCTTTTCCTGTCCTACTTTTAATAATCCGCCTCTTTCCACACATCAAGACTTTATCGTACAAGACGTAGAGGTGTGGACTGTCTGGGGCTGAACCCTAAAAGGCTGAATGGATGGATGGATACATCATTGCATCAGGAACATGAATTGTCTAATCTGGAGTCCGAACGCAAGAACAATAAGCATTTAAGCCGCTGCTTCATCGAGGTGTGTGGGTGCATGATGTCCTGTGATTCAGGTTCCTGCTGATCAGAACTGCTGCTGTCATATTCAGTCTGGTCATGCTCCTATTATGGAGAGCAGAGGTCACTGAAAAAAGCTAAATGAAAATGTTGCTGTCTTTGTAAGCCTATTCCACGTTTCAACGGTTTCTTTGACTCTGCTGGACGTTAAAAGATGTTTAAAAGTGGAGAGGTTATGGTACATAGCACCCCAAGGAGATCTGAGCCTTTGGTTTAGTTTCTAACAACATTTGAAAACTGCAGCAGGTTGTAAAACAAAAGCCTATCAAGTGGAATGAAGAACAGGGAAACAGATAGCTGTTCAACACCTGGCTGTGTGGGTAAGAACCAGCAGCCGCTGACTTCCTTCTCGAAGGAAATCTCAACATTTTCATTGTTTTTGTTTTAAAGATGAAAAAAAAATTTAAACTGTGTGTGTGTGTGTGTGTGTGTGTGTGTATGTTTGCTGTGTGTGTGTGTGTGTATGTTTGCTGTGTGTGTGCACGCTCATGCATTTGTGTGTGCAAGCGTGTGTGTGCCTCCACAGCTGCCCTCCTCACTTTTAGTCTTTAAAAGCTGCCTTGAGCTTTAACGCCATGAATTCAGTCCTGTACAGTCATTTGTTATTTGTCAGAATTTACCTTCTGTATTATTTTTTTTCTGTATTTATTCTGTGGCACATTTGCTTTTCTCTATTTAATAAAAGATTTAAAGTCCTTGCGTGGACATTTTGTTGACCTCATTCACATTTAGGGGAGTTTCACCTACTTGAATCAGGAGATCCAGCCCTGACAATCTCTCCTCATGCCCCATGTTAAATTTTCTTGATCCACCAATGTTGCCAAAATGGGAAAGACCCCAGCTACAGCTATCACAGCCTGTGTACTCAGACCCCACCAGACAGCCACTGGGATCAATCAGGCAGACGCCAACAATCTTAAACCCCCTGACCTGCGAACACTCAGGCAGACCAAGGCACCACACTCCACACCAAGTGTTGGGGGGGAGGGTAGGTGAAGATGTGTGGCATCACAAGACATCTCAGGAGAGGGGAGGAGTCCAAGACACCACCTGACATATACAGTCATACACAGACACAGTCATCCCCCCCCCCCCCCCCCCCCCCCCCCCCCCCCCCCATGTTCACACATACAACCTAAGACTTACAAAAATGAATGCTAGACACCCACTCATGCTCCCCATACACACCCTACTCACTCTGGTCCCGGTACTGCTGCACAAGGGTACAACCATCACCGGTTCCCAGGGTTCAACCCTTTCTGCTGGGGTGCTGATGAGCAGGCTCCCCCGCCTTTTTCTTTTTTCTCAAATAAAACACGATTTTAATCATTAAATTTGCATTTAGAGGATTAACTGCAAATTTACTAAAGTGATTAAAGTATTAAAAAATGTAAAAACATTTCTTGATTATACATTTTGATAAGCTACCTTTAAAAGGAGGAGCATGCACCATGGAGGCTGGAGGCGGTGGTGAAAGAGGCTTGGAGGAGGAGCTCTGGAGTTGGAGAGCCATGAGGAGACACTGGAGACTGAAACCCACAAAGGAGCTCAGGAGGAAATCCTTCAGGATCCCCTGCTCTTGATGAATATTACATCTGTGATAGTTTCCAGTGAGGTTTTCGTAGAGCTAAAATAAACATAAACAGATGAACATAGAGCTCATTCCACAAAAACAGCTCTTCTAATGACCTTCTGACTCGCAGTGATGCAGGGGACTGTTCTGTTCTGGTCCTGCTGGACCTGACTGCAACCTTTGACACTGCTGACTATCACCTGCTACTGGAGAGGCTGAGAAAATGGGTAGGCCTATGAGGATCTGCTCTGGAGGGACTCTCCTCTTATCTGTCTGAGCACTCCTTCTCTGTGGTCGTCTCCAAGTTTAGGTCCTCCACCACCTCTCTTACCCATGGTGTCCCACAAGGTTCTGTGCTGGGGCCTCTACTCTTCCTTCTCTATCTGCTCCCTCTTCAGCACTTCCTGAGCTCCTTCAAAGGAATCTCCTACCATCTTTATGCAGATGACATCCAACTGTACATCTCCTTTAAGCCCCATGAGATGTCTAAGCTGCAGCTGTTACACACCTGCTTAGACTCTATCAAAACCTGGAAGGTGGGAACTTTCTACAGCTGAATGAAGATAAGACTGAGATCCTCATCTGTGCCCCAGACAAGCTGGTTCCCAAAGTCAGAGACTCTCTTGGTCAGCTTGCTTCTCACACCAAACCTTCTTTCAGGAATCTTGGTGTGACCCTTTGACCCAGCTCTCACCCTGGATTCTCATGTCAGTTGTCTTGATCGCTCTTCCTTCTTCCATCTCAGGAACATTGCAAAGCTGAGTCCCATTCTGTCCCGCTCTGAACTTGAGACAGTTATCCACACCTTCATCTCCTCACGCTTAGACTACTGTAACTCTCTTTTCACGTGTCTGAGCAGAACCTCCCTGAACCGTCTACAGGTGGTTCAGAATGCCTGTGCTCGGCTTCTGACCAAGTCCTCCAAACACACCCACATCACCCCGCTTCTCCTCCAGCTTCACCGGCTGCCAGTCAACTTCAGGGTTCATTTCAAGATCCTGGTTCTGGTCTATAGGGCCTTGCATGGACAAGCACCATCATACTTTGGTGATCTTCTCAGTTCCTACACCCCCAGCAGGCCCTTGAGGTCCAGTGACCAAAGCCTACTGGTTGTGCAGCACCAGGCTAAAGTCCAAAGGTGACAGATCATTTGCTGCTGTGGCCCCCAGACTCTGGACCTCTCTCTCCCTGAACCTGAGATCAGTGGACTCAGTGGACTAACCTGCTCAGGTTTGGTGTGACCTTTGGCTTTTGACTATGTTATATTGTTATTTCCTCATCAAAAACTGGTTTCTGGCTTCATGCATGCATCGATCTGTTTCAGCTATTACAAATGGCTGGATGAGGCCAGTTTGCGTTAATGTCCCTCCTCCTCATCGAGGAAGTGCCTAACCTGCACACTCCTCTCCTGTATTAAATGATAAATGACCCGCACTTGTATAGCGCTTCTCAGAGTAAGGACTCCAAAGCGTGTATCATTCATCCATTCACACACACATTCACACACTGATGGTGATGAGCTACGATGTAGCCACAGCTGCCCTGGGGAGCACTGACAGAGGCAAGGCTGCCAAGCACAGGCGTCACCGGTCCCTCAAACCACCACCAGCAGGCAAGATGGGTTACGTGTCTTGCCCGAGGACACAACAGCATCAGAATTCTCTGTCCGGAGCCGGGATTGAACCCACACAACCTGTTGAGCTACTGCTGCCTACTGTAAACACAACCCTCTCTGAGTTGTGAGCAGTGAGTGGATGATTTAATCCCCACAGCCTCCAAAGTAATTAATTTATTATCTAGTCTGCAGTTTTGATAATACCTAGTTCGCTGCAAGAGGTACAGACATTGGTTCAGTCTTCATAAAGGAGTTAATCATCAGAAGTGGTTGGATTTTATCTTAGCCCACAGAAACCGAGCCAGAATGGGACTGCCATTTCACAGATGAACCTTCTCCTGTAGCAGAGTGAATCGTGTTTTTTCAGTTGCTCACTAACACAGAGTAAATAGAGCTTGTTTTCACTTTTTTCTTTCTTATCATCCTCTGCTGCCCGCAGAAAAACAGAGAAGGAAGTGACGCCACCAACATCGGTGGAAGCTCTGACGAAGACGCCAGTGAGTGCAGAAACATGTCAGAAAAACTGTAAAAACAAGCTTTATTTACTCTGTGTGTTAGTGAAGAGCTGAAAAAACGAAATCAGATAAAGAACGCAGAATGAATGAAACAACGATGACCAGAGTAGATTTTCAGAAACGCAACGTCCAGAATTCAATTCAAATTCAATTTCAAAGATACTTTATTAATCCCAGAGGGAAATTATTGTTTCAGTACACACAATTCAGAGATCAGACATACATGGGCAAGACACATGACAAGAATTGGTGACTGTGGTCATTCGCAACCCTGAGTCGTGCTACCTTAATAGAGATAAGAGGGGTTACATGAGGACTGGTTCAGGTAGAGGGGAAAAAAGGCACTTCAGAGTTACCCTCCACCGGGAGGGCAGCTTTGCTCTGCAAAAAAACACCTCAGACAGATATGCAACAGACTTCAGACAACACAACATAAGTGTCCACTAGGTGGGGTGGTGGGTTGGGACTATCCCCACTTGAGTTCCTGCAGCCACGATGAAGCAGCTCATGTCACCTCAGTGTGGATAGGGGGAGGAGCATTGAGGGTTGGAGGGTTGCAGTGACCCTGGAACATTTCAGCGGCCTTCCCCCAGTCCCGCCCAGGCTGGGAAAGGAGACAGAGTTGAGTTGCCATAGCGACGGCACATTCCACATATCTTCTGAGCGGGGAGTTTTCGCTGGAGCCTTGCTGGCTCAAGGGCGCCAGATTGCGATTAGAAATTGTTTTGGGGCCAGACAGAGATGATTTCCTCTCTGTCTTACAGTTTGTTGGTCCTCAACCTCTCAAAATCCCAATAATGGACATTAAACTATCCCAATCCGTGCTGATTCGTCCACTCTATCCTTGATGGCATCCATTTTTTGTGCCAAAGAATGAATCTCCGCCAAAGTCCCAAGCTCACGATTCATCTCAGCAATCATTTGAGTCTGTGAATTCACAGCACGGTGCAAACCATAAGAAATGGTCATTTTTCACCTACATAAGGACCTACATGCCACCGGTCATCTACAGACATAAATTCCATTCTCTAAAGTGGATTTTATATTCTATCTTCCAACAAGCCCAGACGATTCTGCAGCTCTGAACACATGATAACATCTTGTCAACAAGCTGTTCCCGTTTCAAGGCCTTAATGCTTCCCTTATCGCTTCTACAGGATTCCTCGTGCCTCTCAATAAAGTGAACATTTTCAGCTCATATGAGTTAATTA